GGAAGTAAAACAGCTGTAATGGATGTTGCACATCCACCATAAAGCCTGGACTTGGCCCTTAGTGACTTCAACTTGTTTGGTCTGCTAAAAACCACCTTGGTGGCAAACGTTTTTGTGATGATGAAGGGATTGAAACAGAGGTGCTGAAGTGGCTGAGACGACAGTCAGCAGATTGCTATGCTACAGGTTTCAATGCACTGGTAAAGTGATGAGACATGTGTATCAGTGTTGGTGGACAATTTGTTGAGAAATAAATGTTTCCAGATTTGAATATCGTACATTTTACATTTTATATCAATTTGTGACCTATTTACTGACTCTCCTTTGTGCATCTAGAACAGTGCACTGTTACAGTATTACAGACACTCTGCATTACTCTTCATAGTTCCAGTATACACATTCTCACACATAAAATTAATGTTATCTGGAAGCATAAACATTCAGAAAAACTAGTGCAAAATATATCTCATAAAGTCAAATCCACAAACAGTTTCACCTACCTCCAATGTCAGCATATGTTTCTTGTGGAGCTTTTTCTAACTTCATTACTGTGACCATAGGATCTGTATCATCTGATAAAACACCAACCACAGCATGTACCTGTCACAACACACCAGTACTGTATCTGCTTTATGTTTACAGGAGTCTATGTAATACTCAATAGCATTTAAATACCACATACCCATTCTGAAGTGCGTGTACAACCCCCCCTCACCCACATGCATACACACACAGTGGATGCTGCATATTATAATCGTGGATCATACTATCATTCATGCAATTTACGAGATCCCAATCACATGTATAATAATATATAAGAGAAAAAAAAATATGTTTACAGTAATAAGCACTTCAGTTTCTGTTACTACTTTTTTTTCCTTATCCCAACTGTGACACATGTGTAGCGAAGTGACTGTGTAACATCCTGGTTTGTTCTTGAGCTCTGAGTGGATATGTTTGTTTTCTTAATGACCTGAGAAAATACGACAATCCGGAAGAATTATTTTAATTCTTGAGTTTAATATTTTCTCTGTTTCTTTTTAAAGGTGTGTATGGATTTCCAGAAATATTATGGCAAGTTTTATTTTTACTGATGACTTTCTCAAAGAAATAGTGGACAGTCAACTTAAAGTATTTTACACCAACTGATTTTGATTTTTTTTTCAGTCCACTTCCACCATTTTACATATATATGTCTGATCTGCATCAATAAAAATGCTGAACACCTGTATTCTTCTTTCATAAGTTACTGTGATCTACTGAGCTGTAACACCTAAGCCAAGGAAAATGGTCATTTGATCTGGTACATGGAATGTAAGAAGTCCGTACAGAGCAGGTTCGCTCATGATGGCTATTAAGGATATATTAAATATACTGCTGACTGACTGTTATGTAGATAGCGGAGGAACTGAATATGAAAAGAGAAACTGTGAAATGGATTTTGAAGAAAGATCTGAATATGTAATGACAATGAATAATGTGAGCAGCGAGTAAAAAAAATAGTAAAAATAAATTTGCTTAAACCTCTTGGCATACTGGTGGATGATGATGATGATGATCATCATCATCATCACTGGCACAACAGCCCTTTGTGAGCCCTGGCCTTCCTCAGGATTGCTCGCCATTCTTCTCCATCCAATGCTACATTCTTCCAGTTCTTTACACCCAAAATTCCTATGTCCTGCCACACACATTCTTCCCATCTCAATCTTGGTCTTCCCACTTTCCTATTTCCTTGTGGTTTAGTATTAAGTATTTTCTTAATTGTTCTATTCTCACTGGCACATATTATGTGTCCAGCTGATTCAAGCCTTTTCACCTTTATAAATCCAATAATGTCTGGTTCATTAAATAGTTTGCATAGCTCATGGCTATACCTCTTCCTCCATATTCCATTTTCTTCCACTGGTCCAAAGCTATATCTCAGGATCCTCCTTTCAAATATACTTAACAGTCTTTCATCCAATCTTGACAGTGGCATAATAAGATAGCACTGATCTTATAAGTACTTTATACATCATAGTTTTGGTTTTCCTTGTTGGATGACCTCAACACTTAAAAAAGTTGAATGGTACTTGCATCTTCCAGTATGGCCCAGAGGCATGAATGCAGTATCTAATCATACCGATTCCTCTTTTTTTGGGTATCAAGGGAATTATTCAATATGAGTTTGTCCCTCAAAAACAGGCAAACAAGCACTCTACATGTTTTGGAATATTTATGGCAGTGAAGTCATAAAAAGGACCCACTCTTGAATGAGACAAGCGAATTCTGCACCATGATCATGTCTTCCTACACAGCACCTTCTGGGAAGGTTTCTGGCCACAACAGAAATACCAGAGTCTGAACAATCCACTGCATCCATCTGATTTGGCCTGCTGTAACTCTCCCTGGATTTTGTAACACTTGGAGAAACCGAGAACAGTGTGTAGACCTGAAGAGCATTTTGAAAAATGATTTCTAGCAATGCTTCCAGGCATGATGGAAATGTCAAACATATGAACAGATTCAGATAATGACTACTCTGAAGATGATAATTCATTAGGTTCTAGAATTGGTCCCACTACTTAAGTTAAGTAATAATAATATGAATGAGATTAAACAGAAATGTGATTTTACTGATCGTATGAGTTCTGTCCACAATACACAATAACCAAATAATTCTGAAAGCTCACCTTATGATTCAACAATACAGAACAGCCAGGCTCCAACTGATCTTTATCAACAAAGGAAAGGATACTGACATAATGCTCACTGCCAACAGACGTGGAAACAATGGCATGATTGTCGTCAATAATTTCCTCCAAAGTTCCCACTGACATTGGTGTTCCTCTCAGGTCATCTACCTTGGATCTCTCTTCCTGCAAAAGAACATACTATCCACTTGTAATGCAAATAACAGCTTTTTTTAAAAAATGTATTTCCTCTTTTAACTACTTGTATTTTTGTAAAGCCTTCCAATATACACAGTGAAGCAACATTTATTAAAAGATGGTTAAGCTCATTTCATGTTTTCTTCAGTACATGATGAGAATCTCATTTATGCATTCCAAAACAGTCCTACTGTGGCAAAACTCTTGTGTTCAACACTATTAATAGCAAGTTCACTCACTGGACATGTTCCTGGACCTGTTCCCTCCATTCCCAATCCTCATAACCTGTCTCCCTTAGAACCATCTTGATATTAGCCCCCACTTCCTTCTGAAGTCTACTTTTCTGGCACAAAAGTGTACAATAGTCTCCCACAAAGTATCAGAAACTTGAGTAACGATACTAACATTTTAAATCAGAGCTAAAGAAATATCTGCATGCTCATTCCTTCTACTCTGTAGATGAATACCTCAAAGAAAAACCTGGTCCACCAACACATTTCAAAACATAAATCCTACAATCCCTAAGAGAACCACAGCTTTCACAGAGTGAAAGAGAATCTGACTGCCATGACCTGCCGCACCAACTGCTGTTGCAAAACCACTATGGGTTATCTTGCTAACATCTGTAGCATTTTCCACTCAACATTTTAATATCATGCTTATTAAAGAAGTTTGGGGATTCAGTGATGATCCATGAGACAAGCCTCATATATATATATATATATATATATAAACCAGACTCAGTTAAAATAAGGAGTCAGGAGAGCTCAGTCAGCATAGCAACAGGTTGGACTGTCAAGGCTGAAGCCTGGCAGAGGCAAGATTTTTCTCTTCTTCGCAATGTCCAGACCAGCTCCCTGGCCTACCCACCCTCCTACCCATTCAGTACCAGGGGTGATCTCCCAGGGGTAAAGGGGCCAAGGCATGAGGCTGACCAGTCACCTTCATCTAGTGCTGAGGTCAAGAACGGCAAAGCAATACCTCCACCTCAAATGTGTCTTCATGGCATAGTTCTTAATTAATTAATTAATCAATCAAAATACATTACCTCAATCTTTTCTTCCTGGGGTTTAAGTCTCTCCTGATTACGAATAAACTCCTCTTCCATAAGAAGATAATCTTTGATTCTTTCCAATTTCAGAAGTTTCAGGCGACATCTTGTATGCGGTGTCACTGCAGATTTAAGCTACCATTATGACCGTATCAACAGTTGTAAAATTCTAAGTTTCAAGGAGGGGGAGGCCATTTAGTTCTTCCATACTTCCAGTTGCAATGAGAAATAAATCTGTTACAAGACAGTTCAACTGTGAAAACCTACACCTAATTTTTATGTTGGGCACAATCTTCTGAGTTGTAGCACCATGTAGTTTACAGAAAGCCCAAATTTTGGAGGCACATGTCACCCCCATATTCAGGGTTGAAGAGTAAGCCAAGCAAGAAACCAGCAGAAGCAGGAACTGCATGGTGTGACAACCCAGAAGACCATAATCTTCTCTTTGTAGTCATCAACATGAGAACTTCAAATCAAATGTTACTTCTAACACTTAATTTCTCTAACTGCTGTTTAATTCAATATGTTCCCTGGCCACCACAATCACCAAATTTGAACATCAGTGAACCATTCTCTTCAGTTTTGGAAACTATACTGAGGAACACATTCTCACCTCCAACATCTCTAAAGAAACTTGAAAATGTTCTTTAAGAATGGTATAAAATTCCGTTATAGACTGTTCAAAATTTGTATGAGTCCATTCCCATGACTGTGGCTGTAATGAAGACAAAAGGTGGACCAACACCATATTGATAAAGAAATGTGTACAGTGGCTGTAGTGTTTCCATTATTTTGTTCAATCCCTGTATGACTGTCAACTACAATTCAATCATGTAAGAAGTGTACTATTTTAACCTTTAATGTCCAAAGTGCACGATCAGTACACTGATGAGTATGGTTGCTGTAGCCAAAGTATCTCGATTTGTGCATTTGGACATTTAAACGCTGCCAGTGGTAGCTCACGCACATGCCGTCAGTAAAAGCATATGTACAATCCAAAATATTTATTTTTAAATATAGTAAAATTCAATATAGCTGGTCACGGTAGCCGAGTGGTCTAAGGCATGCACTGTCTTTGCTCGCTCGGAAGCCGGGATCGTGGGTTCGAATCCCACTCAGGGCATGGATGTTTGTGTGCGTTTTTCTGTGTTTGTCTACAGGTAGAGGCCTTGCGATGAGCTGATCACTCGCCCAAGGAGTCCTACTGAATGTTTAAGATCTAGTAAACCGAAGTGAAACAGAGAGTTTCATGGAGGTAGGCCTAGGCCCAAATTGGGGCTGTAGCGCCACAGAAAAAAAAATTCATTATACCTATTTTTTTTTATCTGCTCAATGTATATACAGGCTTCAACCCCTGCGTTATGTAACTGAATCTTGCCTTTGTGTAATACTCCATGAAGCACCCGAGAAAGCGCAGTCCCATGTCAGATATGTTGCATTTCAACTGCCTTTCAATTTCATCATCTTCCAAACAACGTTTCATTGCCATTGTATGGTGAAATGAAACTACAATATTCAAATTCACCATGAACTCACAGAAAACTAATGTACTCTGTATCTCTGCTGCGACGCAAGCGTTTGGTTGCGATCATAGGAAGGGCAATATTCTCTTGCAGCGGCAATGGCAGGGTTTGGCACTGAAGTAGGGAACAATGAATATTCCCTGTAGCCTTTCTTCAAAGGTCATGTTTTCACTTTTCTGTCCTTTAGTCAAAAGATGGAATATCTGAATACTATAACAAAGACGTAAATCTTGCCAACAGAGAACCAAATGACTTTATTGCTTCCAACTCTTTTATGGCACCAGAGAATGCAAAAATATTTCAAGTGTTACAAGCAGGAATGATTTTATAATGCAGAACTACAAAGAAGTGGGAAACTATGTTTATGGTATGCATCAAAATTAAAAGAAAAAGAAATTAAAAAGTTATAACATTTGTCTATATATTTTCAAAATTTACGTTATAATATGTAACACTGTGTTCTTTGCTGATAAAGACAAAGTTAACTCCATTCGCTTATCACAAAAATTGTATTAGATACAGCAGTTTCAAATACAATGCAAGCGCTCTAACAAGAACGGACATTTAAACACGCACCAGCAGCGGCCATTTAAATAAACTCCGATCAGCTCTAGCTACCACCATTTCAAAAGTCAGGCATTTAAAGGTTAAGGAAAGAGGGGTCAGCACCAATACTGACACACACTATGCACCTATATATCAGAAAGATGCTGTTAAAATAAATACCTTAAAGTTACTGAGCAGGTACCTTAATATGGAATATCTATATATTAGATGGCCACTTTACCTTGAGGTAATTTCATAGCTGCATCTGGGCCTTTTGTCCTCCTCCTCTTTTTACCAACACGAGTGGGAATTGGTGGTTCATACTTCTTCTTCTTATCCTTATCATCCCTCTTATCTCCTCCACTTCCTCCGCCACCAGACTGATTCTGACCCTGTCCAATAAAAAAGCCTTTACATTCACTGATCAAGGGTGAACAGCCTTAATGTTTACTACTTCAATATCATGAAATAGTTAATTTACCACATATATCCTGCCTATGTGTTTTTGCTACTTTCAGCCCTTTTTATGGTATTCATACCATCTGTTGAACGTACTGAAAGTTTTATACAAGATTCCATACAATAAAATTCTTAAAAAGTTTAAATTTCTTATTTCTTATTGTATGCTTCTTCTGTATTTCTAATCATTCGTTTTATTTTCATTTTGCCATGCCTCTTTGGTTAAAAATTTTCTTTTTTATAACTCCACATTTATATTCCTATCTGACTACTGGGAAATCTAATATGCCACATAAAATAACATGAAACAAGTAACGTGGATGTTATATGTGATAGTAATAATACAAATACTGAATGGCACTGGCAGCAATGGTACTACATAATCTTACTTCATGTAGAAATGTTTACAAAACGTGTTACTTTTTCATTTTTCCATGTGGGGATTAACGTACATGCCAAAGGTAATGAAACTCTGATTCACTACTAAATTCCAATCCCCAACAAACTTACCATGTTAAGATCGCAACACCTTCACAATTTTCACAATATGCACTTTCACCATACACAGTCCTCTAAACCTTGTAAACGTTTCTTATTCACAGAACACAAGGCAAACCAGCTGGCGGGCAACATAATCACTGCGATCACTGCTGCCTCAATATTCGGGGGGTAAGTCTAGTGATAGAACTCGACCAGTGCCGAGAATACGGTCGATAAGAAAGTATGCTATCATACCACCAGCCTTTGTGTTCTGCCTCATCATTCGTTCACAATCTTCACAATAGTAGCAATAAACAATTTTGCAATACTGACCGTTTGTACTCCAGAGGCTCTTACTCCGTTGTTTTCAAAAGTAGTTTTACATTTCGGTGACAGGCGGTAACAGCTGTTGTCAGGGTTATAGCAGATGCTCAAAATGTTTACCTTGCACTACTACACAGGCTTTGACCCTACAATACACTCATTAATGAAATTAATGGCTGAAAAATGCCAGGAGTGTTGTGGAGCAACGTGCAGCTATTTTGAATATGCTGCTGCAAATATCTGAAGCAGTTAATGGCTAAGGAAGAAACTGTGCTACAGGGTATGATTGATAGACTAATCAAAATTGGAAGGTGCTATGGCATGGAAATGAATGTGGAAAAACAAAAGTAATGAAAATTTCGAGACAACTAACCCCAGTCACAATAAAGATAGACCAAAAACAAATGGAGAATGTGAAACGTTTTAAATGTTTGGGTAGCTTGTTAACAGATGTTGGAAGGTGTACTTGTGAAATTAAATCTAGGATTGCCATGGCAAAAGCTGCATTTAGCAAATCTTTTTACCAGCAAAGTGGACTCAAATTTGAGAAAGAAACTAGTGAAATGCTACATTTGGAGCACTGCTTTGTATGGGGCTGAAACTTGGACACTTAGGGCAGTAGATCAGAAACACCTGGAAAGCTTCGAAATGTGGTGTTGAAGAAGGATGGAGATCAGTTGGACCGATTATGTGAGAAATGAAGAAGTGTTATTTAGAGTCAGTGAGCAGAGGAATATACTACACAAAATAAGAAAACGGAAGGCTAATTGGATTGGTCATATCTTACGCGGTAACTGCCTTCTAAAAGAAGTTATTGAAGGAAAGATAGAGGGGCGAATAGAAGTGACCAGAAGACAAGGAAGAAAACGTAAGAAGATTCTGGATGACCTTGGGGACAGAAGAGTATATTTTCATTTGAAAGAGAAGGTTCTAGATCGCATCAAATGGAGGAACTGTTTTGGAAGAGACTGCGGACCTTTCGTCTTGACAGATTACAGATGAATGAACACGAAATTTCTTAGGTGTTCCTAATCGAAAAAATTGAGGGGATTTGGGTCTGATGAACATTAACAGGATCAACAGGATGTTGGCTCCTGTCGTTTTATCCACAACCCAGTGTAACCAGCCTCATGGTAATTTCTGACAGCATAAGTGAAATTGGTTCCAGCACCATCATCCATGACACATGCATATCCTCCAATATCCAGCGGGACAGTATCCAATAGCTCTGGCTTAAGTGTGCTCCAAAAAAATTGTTGGTAAGCAAAGTATGGGCCTACGAGTCTCCTACAACACCAGCCCAAACGTTAACTGGGAACTGCTATTGATGTCTGGATTGAATTGTACTGTGTGGGTTTGTCTCTCTCAGAATGTGTCTCCTTGCCAAGCCTGCTTCATTGGTGAAGAGCACATAGCAGCTTCACTGCCAAATTTTTGATATAGGTGAAAATCAAGTGTACACAGAGATTGTACCTGTTACAAATGGTATGGGTACAGAAACTGTTCTGGAGAATCCACCACACTATTGTGTACATCACTTTTGGTAGTTTGTATGTGATGAATGCTGGTACAGGCATTCTTCTCTGTGCATATCGTCATACAATCTTGCATATAAAGTGTTCACGCAGTTCTTTGTCTTCCATGGTCTACTACAGAAGGGTGAAAAGTACTGGTCTTCCCAATGCGATCATCAATGATGTGAAATGTTTGTGGGTTCATAAGTCTACATTCAGCATACACCTTAGTGTACAGCACTACAGCTGCTGCACCATTTCCAGGGTCTTTGCCGAGAACTAAGTTCATATTCATGTATACTCAGAAGTGCTGCTGTCCAGTTTATGGACAGACTTACAAGGCAACCATGATGCTGAAAGAACAGTGTCTGACTGTATGTACAGTTCACTGGAAATGAATGCCTGACGTCACATTCTAGTGTATGTGGTTGACTCACTATCAGTGTAAACATGACAACTGCATGTTTTCTTGATAATGGGGGAAGTGGTAGTGACTTACTTACTCATTGAGCTGAGCCCTTCTGGAGGAGCGGCCAATTCTGCAGCTACTCAAGAATTTTCCAGCATTTTATGGAACCCAAAAGTTCATCACTGTGTTCACAACAGCCCTCCACTGGTCCCTATCCTGAGCCAGATCTATCCAATCCATACCATCCCATCCTATCTCTCTAAGATCCATTCTAATATTGTCCACCCACCTACACCTTGGTCTTCCCTGTGGTCTCTTTCCTTCTGGCTTTCCCACCAATATCCTATACGCATTCCTCATCTCCCCCATTCATGCTACATGACCTGCCCACCTCATCCTCCTTGACTTG